AAAGGGAAAGAATCTTTGGGGCATGCCTTAATTAAATCTTATAATCAAGAATTTTTAGGGCATGCCTTATTTAAATCTTTATAATCTACACACATTCTTAATTTGTTCCCTTTCTTAGGAACTACTACTACGTTTGCTAACCATTATGGGTTATTGACCTCCCGGATGGACCCTATTTTAAGGAGTTTAGTTACCTCATCCATGATGAAGGCATGCTTAATCTCGGACTAGGGTCTCTTTTTCTGCTTTACCAGACGGAACTTCAGGTCTAAGCTCAGTTTGTGAGTACTGATGACTGGTGGAATCCTTGTCATATCGAGATGGGACCAAGCAAAACAATCCATATTAGCTATAAGAAATTGAATGAGTTTTTTCCTGAGCTCAGGAGTTAACCCCATGCCCAGGTATACCTTTCGATCGGGCAGATGTTCGATCAACACGACCTGCTCCAGCTCTTCAACCGTTGATTTGGTAGCATTGAAATCATCGAGGGCGATAAGGATCGAGGAACCCCGTAGTCATCATCTTTGTCAATCCCTTACTTGTCCGATTGGGTCGAGGCTGGCATCGATGATTGCTATTTGGCTTCCTGCTCCGCTTTCAAACCTGAGTCCTTTGTCAATGAGAGTTTTGATATTGGAATTACTTCATCGATGACAAACATCTCCTTTGCGGCGGGTTGTTCCCCGTAAACCGTCTTTATCTCCTCTAGTGTTGGAAATTTTAATACCTGGTGAAGGGTCGAGGGCACGACCCTCATGTTGTGGATCCATGGTCTTCCGAATAGGACGTTGCATCTCATGTCCCCCTCGATTACATAAAACTTAGTCTCCTAGGTGGTACCGATAATGCTATTTCTCCCTTAGTAGATTCGCAAGCCGTGTTGATTTTGTTTAGCACTTGGGCCACAGGTACGATCTAGTCTTGTAGGCCGAGTTGTTCTATGACCCTTGATCGAATGATGTTGGACGAGCTACCTAGATCAATTAGCACACATCTAACTCGAGTTTTATTCATAAGTACATAAATTATTAGTGCATTATTATGGGGTTGCATGATTCCTTTTGCATCCTCGTCGTTGAAAGATAGAGTCCTTTCTGGTAGATAATATCGAGTCCATTTTTCCCTTGTGATTGACACTTTGGTACGTTTCATCATCAGACCTTGAGGAACATCGATCCCTCCGATGATCATATGGATGATGTGCTGGGGTTTGTCTTGTTCATTTTGTTTGTTGGAGTCCCTGTTTCTGAAGTGGTTCTTAGCTCGGTCACTCAAAAATTCTTGAAGGTGACCATTGTTGAACAATCAGGCTACTTCCTCCCTTAATTGTCGACAATCCTTCATCATGTGGCCATGTGTGCCATGATATTTGCATATTTGGTTGGGATCCCTTTGTGTTGGATCAGTTTGCAAAGGTCAAGGCCACTTGGTATCTTTGATGTGTCCAATGGCTGATACGATGGCAGCTGCGTCCATATTAAAGTTGTACTCCGATAATCATGGTGCCTCTTTGGGACCGATAGATCTATCGAAGCCGTTCTTGCTCATGAGTCCCCGTGAACCTTGACCTCGATCATTTCTCCTTTTATTCTATGCAGAATTTTGCCCAAATCCACTGCCTATACGATCTTCATTATACGGCTAATATTGATCTTTGTTCGACCTTGGTTCTCGGTCTTTATCCCTCTTGATTCTATCGGCGGGTCTGATAGGATAAACGGACACCAAAGGAGCCCCAAGTTGATCGTCCTCAACACTGATCTTTGACTAATACCGATTATGCACATCGACCCAAGTAGAAGCTTCGAATGTTGTGAAGCTTCAATTGTTATGAAGCCACTGAGTTTGAATGTTGAGCCTTTGAGTGAAAGCTTGAACATCCCAATCATCAGCGACCGGTGGCAAGTCCATCCATTCCATTTGGAATCGAGACACGAATTTTCTGAGCATTTCATTCTCCTTCTACCTTACATTGAAAAGGTCCGGTTTTCTGGTTTCGACCTTGATGGCCTCGGCGTGTGCCTTTACAAAGGAATCTACAAGCATAGCAAATAAGTCAATAGAATTAGGTGGTAAATTATGGTACCATATCATAGCTCCCTTTGATAGGGTCTCCCCGAATTTCTTCAACAAGATGGATTCGATCTCATCATCTTTTAGATCATTCCCTTTGATAGCAAATGTATAGGAGGTGACATGTTCGTTTGGATCAGTCATTCCATTATACTTAGGAATCTCGAGCATGCAGAACTTCTTGGGGATTGGCTTCGGAGCTGCACTCGGNTTGGTCGACCCTTGAGTGATAAGTTTCCACCTTCTTATCGTTTGCCTCGATCTTCTTTTCTCCCGAATCAATTTGCTTTCTCAGTTCTTCGAGCATCTTCATGATCACAGGGTTGGTCTCCGACTCTTTCTCGCTTGATTTTTTGAAAATGATTTGACCCTGTGTACAACATCCTGGGACGGCTCGGGCTCGACCTTGCTCGGTGTGTGATTTTGGTTTTGGAGCTAGGCTATTGCTGCCTGTTGAGCCTCCAACATTTCGAAGATCACCCGCAGGCTGATCCCGTTATCTTCACCACCACGTGTGCTTTGAGCGGCTGATCGAATATCCCCATGGACGCTGCCTTCGGGATCGATGACCAAATTTCCGTTGATGGCTACATGTGAACTAACGTCGATTGGATCTACAACCGAAACTTCATCGGGGCCAACCGGGGGTACATAGTTCTCTGGTGCTATGTTATCATTTTTTGTCGTGGTGGCCAAGATCATTGTCAACGTGTATAGGTGCTGACTGCGAGTTTGATATTTTTTAATCTTGTAATCAAATATACTTCAAAGAACAAGTGTAAAATAGTGTGTGTTATGAAAGTTTGTACCAGGTAACCACTATTATATTATCCTTAGCCTCACGGTGGGCGCTAAACTATTTACCCTAAAATCGGATAATAATTGAATTTATACGTGGTTTTAAGGACACGTGATATAACTTGGTACAAATTAAGAAGAATAAATTCGTATTGAAATTAACGATAAAGAAATAAGCGTAAACCACACAAATTGAATAGCCTTGGCCCTCGAGTTCAGTCACCCTTGAACCAAAGATGTTTCAACTGGCTTATGAACAGAATAACAAGATAATAAAAGCTAGAAAATGACAGTATATTGCTTTGTATTACGTGAATATGATCGTCCTTTACAAATGATTAGACCTCCTTTATATAGTATGGGAGTCCTACTCTTGTTACAATTCTATATGAGGTAAGAAATCTCATATTTAGCTAATTAATCGGCCTCTTCTTGATATGTGCCTGTATTTCCGCCGTGATCCTCGCCCAATTACGGATATTTTGGCTTTCCGTTATTTGGCTCGATAACCTTTACTCGATCTCGCTCGATCTCTATCTTGCTTGGTCTCGATCTTGATCGATCTTAATCTTGATCGGTCTCTGGATCACGAACTCAACAATCTAACTTTGCATCATGGTTCAATATAACACGAGGTTGAAATTTGGCCTATCATATTCCGGTTTCGATTCATACAAAAGGGCAAGCTCGATTTTGACCGTATACATATATATATATATAGAGAGGCTAGGATACTCGGGTAAGATGTATAGCCTTATTGTGCAGCATCAAACAAGGCTAAAGTTAGCAAAAGAAATGAGATATATAAAGAATTGAAAGTAAAAATAGACTGCCTAATTGTTGATAAGCTTATCAAAGAGGTAAGACATCCCGTGTCACTCATCACTTGGGACTATAATTGAAGATTGTATGTATTTATTGTAAATCGACAAGGCCAGTATTAAGCATATTTGGAGAGATGCAAATCAATATGCAGATTTTCGGGCAAATGAAGATCACAAACACAACAAAAAGTTGATTCTGGGAGGTTACGGTCAAAGAAAATGAATTTAAATAATGTAATAAGGGATTTTAAGTGTTTTATTAACTTAAATTTCCAATGTGCCAAAAATATATAGAGAGAGTATATTCTCTACAAGTTGATGACTAGTACTACATGAACTTCTAAATTCATAGAGATCCCAATTTGTTAAACACCGACAGATGACACAACAAGCAAAGACTCTTCGTGCTTTTTCTTCTTTTGTTTCAATTAAGTTCGAGCCTTTTGAGAGTGGTGCCATTAATATACGCTTTATTTTAATTTGTGTGATGCTTTTTATTAGGGCGGTTCAAAATCGAACTGAAACTGTTAACTGAATCGAACCGATGACTTATTGGCTTATTGGTATCGAATTATCGGGATAATGGATAGTAAACAAATTGAGATTATATAATTAACGGATTAACGGTTTGGAGGCGGATTACTCAATTTTCTTATCGGGCAAACTGTTAATCCGTTAAGAATTTTTATATTTATACTTTTACCCCTATGTATATAAATTATTATTAAAACCTAAATGGCTAAATCCCTAATTTCTAATTCTCATCTATCTATAGCTATGGCATTGGCGGTCGTCTTTGGCTTCTAATTAGGAAAAACTACTGCAACTAACAGACACAGTTTGAACTATGTATTTGGCCGTTTGGTATTGATTGTTCAAAATTTTTTTATTTGGTTTAGCCGATAAACCCCCCGATAAGTGCCAGATAATTATTAATCCGTACCAATCTGCCCGTTGTTTTATTAAATGGCTAGCGAATTACTATATTTATAATCCGATAATCGATAAGCCGAACAGTTAAACATAATTATCCGTCTGATCCGCCCGATAAGCACCCCTACTTTTTACGTTATAAGGGTTGGGAAAATAGCGTAGGGAAAATTAAGAAAGAACTTTGAAAAATATTTTCTCTCTACTTCATTAGGAAAATATTTTCCAAAATTATATATTTTTAAAATTCCTTTTTTTTTAAAGCTAAGGACAAGAAAAGAAAAGAAAAAAAGGGTCAAAGAAAAAAGATGCTGGTTGCTAGCATTATTGGAATTTGCATGCATTGGAAAAGGCCAAACAAATAAGAATGATAAAAAAGAAAGCAATACGACCGTACCCCGAGAGGTGAGTGAGTGGACTACCTGTGATTATATCGAGTAAAAGGCACGAGAACAAAAAAGCAAAGAACAAAGAAGAAGAAGAAGAGAAGAAGAAGAAGAAGAAGAAGAAAAAATGCCGAGGAGCAGATTTTCAGCATCATTAGCTTCTCCAAAGGTGGATTTAGTTATTGATATGGGCAACCCACTTCTCAACCAAACTGTTGATGCTTTCTTGAAAATCGGCACTGTAATTTTCTCCTCTCTGCTGTTAATTTGGTGATTTTTGCTTCTTTTTTGGATTTTGTAAACATGGGTTGCTTGATTTTTACCCCTTTTTTTGTTCTTACTTGTTTTAGGTTGCTGTCACCAAAACTGCTGTTGAAGAAACTTATCACATCGTCAAAAAAGGTTGATTCTTAAATTTGATTTCAGTTATCTAGACTAAAGAGTCTTTACTAGATCAAATGGGGGAAACTAGACTGCTCTCATTTTTTTTCGTCTTTTTTTTTTTTGGCTCAGTTTTATTTTATGTGATGATGTTTGGTTGGACGGAAAAAATTGTGATCTTAAAGAGCATTTCATCAAAGTAGAATGAGAAGTTTAAAGTCAAATAGTTTCCAAATTTAGAAATGTATCATATATTTTGAAACAGATTTAAAAAGTAAAGAATATATCATTATGTAACTGAAGTGACCAGACTTCTCAATTTCCTAGTTATCGCCTATGTTACGGTACTTGTTTACTGGTGCATACTATCCGTTAGTGTATGTGTACCTTCTCAGGCCCACTTGTGGGATTACACTGGGTTTGTTGTTGTTGTTGTTGTAAACGAAGTTCCTGTACCCATATCACACTAATTATAAGGGTAGGTCAAGACAAAAGAAGGATCCATGACATAGCCGATTCGCCAATTTTTGCCTTTTTGCTTCTTTGACTTTTTTCGATGTGCTATGTAACCTGAGGAATTCAAAAAAAGAATGGATTGGGGATTGTACTTGATCTCCCAGTTATATTAAAGTGTAAATTGAAGTTCTTTAAGTTACCAGCAAACTATCCACAATTCAGCTTACTATTTCACAATCAACATGGTCTTTGCAGGCAGTGTGTCGAGTCACAACTTTGAGAATTCGGTAAGCATGCCTTAAACTGTATACTATATCATTTTACTAATTTGTGTAAATATTCTAGTAGATTGTCTTGGAAGTGTTTATTCAGTTTTGTATAAGAGAAATGTTCTAGAATCAAAATTTGGCTTAACAATGTGATCCTCCTCTTTTAGATTTGTTTGGCCACCTATGAGGTGTGATTTGTGAAGAAGGCTTATTCTGGTCTGAGCACAAGATATTATTGTTAAGATACTAATGGATAGTCACCGAGCAAAAAAGATACTGATGAATAGTGGCTAAAAAAGACTTTAGTGGTTACGGATTAAGAAGACTTTCAGAATTATATCAGTTTCTTTTGGTGGTGCCGATGAGCAAAATATTTAACAAGCATTAACCGAGAACTTCAATGCATATAAAACCAAATGTCCTGTTTGGCTCAAAAACAGCCTACCACACCTGAAATTATGCTTTAGTAAAATTTCATGGTACGAGCAGCATCTCTCTTATGTTCAGCTCAAAATCTATTTCACTTATGCCACCACAGAACTTAAGTGGCTATTCTGGAGGATTTAGTTATGTTGACTGGAAAAAAAAGAAGATTGATTGACATGCTTGTTGTGTTTTAACTGAATTTACCTTTGGTTGCAGTTGAAGAAAATGTGTAAAGAAGGTGCTTATTGGGGTGAGTAATCTGCACCAGTTCCACCCGCATATTAAATTTCAAAATGGACGGTTAGAAAAGAGTTTTTAGTTTCCCAATTTTTTGAATCTTTGAGTGGATTATCTAACAATTCTTGTCTCTTTATTCAGGGACTGTGGCTGGGGTATATGCTGGAATGGAGTATGGAGCAGAGAGGATCCGTGGAACCAGAGATTGGGTAATTTGTATTTGCATTTTATATGAATTTGCTCAACTAATTGGACTTTGAGGACCTACACCGCGTTATAATCTTTCTTCGCCCTTCTGTGTGTTTCCTACTTGCTCACCCCAACCAATTGCATCCTCTCCACATTGTCTTTGCTTTTAATCCTGCTAGCATTCAGTTTCTGTTTCATCAACCGATGCATAGTACCAGGTTTTCCCCATGGTGGCCACTATTTTTGTTTTGATGAATCTTTCAGAGTTCCTTTAAACTGCACAAAGATTCTGTGTTACTTACAAAAGTGCAACAACAACGTACCCAGTGTAATTCCACAAGTAGGGTCTAGGGAGGGTAGTGTGTACGCAGTTCTTATCCCTACCTTGTGAAGGTAGGCAGGCTGTCTCTTTACAGAAGTGCATGTAAAATATACATCAAACATTTCAAAAATCTAGTCAACTGCCCGTACAAGTTGGTATTTACATTTTACACCAAAAGAACAAAGAAATAGAAGAGAACCCTTGACCCTGAACGACAAACACTCTGGCGCTTCAAAGTTCTCCTGCTTCTTCCCTCCACAAAAGCCCAAAAATACTGAAAGGGAGCCTCTTCCATAGCTTCTTTCCTCGAACCATTTTTCTCGGTCTATCTCTACAGTTGTCTTACAGAGAACCCACTTAATGTTGACTGCCAAATGTTGCAAATATCAAGGAACGCAGTTTCAATGTAAAATCATAAGGTGGTAAAGAACAATACTCATCCTCCCCATGCTTTTACCACGTGCAACACTGCCGTCAAAATACGAGTGAGGAAATGCACTTTCTTGATTCTTCAGTGCGCTGCATCTCCATAGAGATTTCACCATTGGATTAGGGTCTTCTCCCACTGAATAAACAACTGTAATAAGATTGTATTAGAAATGTGTTCGAGAAGGAACCTTTCATTATGATAGACTCTGCATCTCCAAACTGTGTATGGCTATATAGTCTCAGCAGGAATGCATCCACCTCGTCGTCTCCGATTCCTGTTGGAAGTCATCTGAAGTTATATCCCATGACCTGTGTTTTCCATCCTGCCTTAGAACCTTAGCTACTGCGATCTTCTTATCATTAGCTTATGAGAATAAGCTAGGGATGTAATCTTCTAGGGTATCACATACAATACGTTAAGCCAAGATCAGATTCTATTCCCATTTCGGACAAAAAACACATTGTACTCGGGAAAGTTCACTTCCCTATCATGATCCGTTTTCACCCGCTCGTCCTGTTGTGGGACAACACCTCCTTTATGAACCAAGGTTAACTATTATAACCATGTTTCACCGAAATAACCTTCATCCGGATGATGTACTGGAGAGAGATGATTAGGCAAGACATGTCATTGCTTCAGCTTATCAAGGACATGACCCTCGATAGGAAGATGTGTGTGGGGTCCATCCCATTAATTAAGGAAGACTTTTCTTCCTTGTTGATTGTTTTCAAAGTTGGCAGCCATCATATCTTTTGCATTTGTCAAATTCGGTAGGTATAGCAGATCTGCAGGTAGAAAATGTCAAATGTAGTAGGCGTGAGAGAGTGACGCTCTGCCTATAAAAAGAGAGCTTCAGCTCTCATCTCGACACACCAATCTCAGAGGAAAAATATATGTGAGAGTTAGAAAGAAAGAGTGAGGTTTCACAGACAGGGTATAAGAAAATAGTCTGTGAGAAAANCGGAATTTCGACCTCCGCTGGTATTACGGCCTCAATTCCGTACACCAACAAATAAGGAGTTGCACCTATGGAAGTCCGGACGGTAGTGCGATAACCCAAAAAAGCAAAGGGTAATCTCTTGTGCCATTGTCTAGATCCTTCCACCATCTTTCGCAGTATCTTCTTGATGTTCTTATTGGCTGCTTCGACCGCTCCATTCGCCTTGGGGCGATATGGGGTAGAATTGAGGTGTGTAATCTTGAATTGTTGGCATACCTCTTTCATAAAGCTGCTGTTAAGATTCGCACCATTGTCCGTAATGATCACTTTTGGGATCCCAAATCTGCAGATGATATGGGAGTGAACAAAATCCACCA